GGCCAGCAAAGTGTTGAAGGCAGAACAGAATGCAACAGGCCTCAACACTTGAGCTGCCGCATGGGGAGAGGAGCCCAGTGATGAGACAGGGACTGAGGAGTAGGGTCTAGGCTTCTATGCGGACTCCAAGCCCAGTGGGTGGCCACAGGGTCTTGTGGGTGTAGGGGTCCGGCTCTAATCTCAACAGTGCAGGGGCAGGTATAGGCACCTGCCAGGCTAGGTAGGTCAGAATATTCTCTAGGCCCTGGAGCCATTAGGAGTCGACAGCTTGGTGCTGTGATAGCATCGGTATTTTAGGAAGCAGGCTTCCCAGGATGGAGTGTGTAGAGGGCCCCAGCACAGAGGGTACTTGGAGGCCGAAATCAGGTGAAGCACCAAGCACAGAGGTGCCAGAAGATTGTTCTGACAATTGTAGCTCTTAGGATTACTTAGGTCAAAAGAGACTACAGACTAGTTGACCAGTTATGACTTAAAGTTTTTCTATATGCGTTTCATTATGTGTTCAACTCATACCTCACTCTGTTTAAAGAGAATATCTGATTATTCCTAAGCTATACTGAACTATCAATAGCTTTTCAGTAACAACTACCTTAGATACCAATGGCAGTTGCCCAGGCTGGAGTGCAGTGGTGCAATCTTGGCTCACTGCAACCTCCACCTCCCAGGTTCAAGTGATTGTCGTGCCTCAACCTCCCGAGTAGCGGAGACTACAGGCATGCACCACCACGCCTGGCTACATTTTGTATTTTTAGTGGAGACAGGATTTCACCATGTTGGCCAGGCTGGTCTCGAATTCCTGACCTCAAGTGAACCGCCTGCCTTGGCCCCCCAAAGTGCTGGGATTACAGGCGTGAGCCACCGCGCCCAGCACCATAGCTGTTTCGTTCTGCCTGCTGGCAGCTTGTTCACTAACCTTTATCTCCCTAGTTTTGACTATAAACATTCCACCCCTTTCAGAATGAAACAGAAACAAAAAGAAGTGTTTCAAATGGAAATATAGATTTGAGTGTGGAGGGAAATAGTGTGTGTGACACCAGCTTTCTCCTCCTATATCAGTAACATATCTCTGCATTTTCTGATTCCAGGGAGGTTGATGAATGTTTGTTTTTAATCACATGCTTGCTGGCAGGATATGTAATTTTTGTTTGTATTCCATATTAGTGAAATCATACTAGAATAGGGTTTGTTATTGGAATTTTTTCTTTTTTTCCTCTAGTATATTTCTAATGATTTTATCCAACTTTTTCAAAAGGAAAGTCACATCTCTTACATTGCATTAGAGGTGCTTGCAAAAAGTTCTTTTGTGATGGCTGGGTGGGTGGTTCACGCCTATAATCCCAGCACTTTGGGAGGTCGAGTCGGGCAGATCACTTGAGGTCAGGAGTTCAAAATCAGTTTGGCCATCATGGTGAAACCCTGTCTCTACTAAAAATACACAACAATTAGCTGGGCATGGTGGCACGTGCCTGTAATCCCAGCTACTCAGGAGGCTGAGGCAGGAGAATTGCTTAAACCCAGGAGGCAAAGGTTGCAGTGAGCCAAGATCATGCCCTTGCACTCCAGCCTGGGCAACAAGAGCAAAACTCCATCTCAAAA